AAAGAAAGTGAAAACAAATAAATAATTAAAATAATTATGATTAGCTATCGTATAAAGTGAAATATTGGGAGAACACCCCTTGTTTTATTTGCATGCAAATACTCTCAATGACATGCATGTAGCAGAAAATTATCAATATAAATTCACCAATGGTATAAGCAACTATAACAATATTTTAATACAGTACTTACCAGTCTGTTTGGACTATAGAGCATCTCCTCAAAAGTAATTCCTACATCACTAACATCACGAACTATAATACCACTCCCGTAATCATTGTCCTTCATTACTAGTCTCATACACGATGAATCAATATTAAATAACTATGAAATAAGGAGGGAGAAGAGAAAGAATGATGGAAAGAGAAGGAGAACACTATTAGTACATGTAAGTATTCTTCCTCTTACTTCTCCTATATGTTGTTTTAATTCTCCAACAGTCCAACCTTTTTCACCTCTCATTGGTTTAGCTGGTCCTGCTTTACCAGTTGACATATCAACCACTGATATCATTAATACAATACCTACATGTAATATTGTTAGTGACATTATCATGGTAACCAACTGTATATACCCACCTCCATCATTGTATTTCTTAAAGGTTTCATTTGCTTTACAAATTTCTAAAAATAATCCAAAAGAATAATATCTAGCAGCACCTACAGTCTGAGCAATAGTTAGATGCCCAAACTAAATAGGATAATAACAAGTTATATCAATACAATGCATAAAGCTTACCTTATCAAGATCAAAGGACTGATTGATTACTTCATCTCTAATATCATATTTAGCCAAGCGACATCTCTCAATAGGAACATGAGGAGCTAATTCCATCAACTGAGAAACAAAATGAAAAATGGAACAACTACATGCATAAACCTCATAAGCTTTATCCAGTACTATGGGCAGCAATTCATCTTCATGTACTTTAAGTAATGACACTGTTAATTCATCAGTAACAGGATGATTACAATACAACGAGAACTACATGTATAAAGTAAAATACAAGTAAAAAAACAAATAGTGTATATTTGTACAGCTGATTAAAATTTGTAGACAATAATTTTGCAATTTTAAAAGTAGCCATACATGTATATAGCACTGAGAAACAGCCTTATCACTTATAATTATTATTATTATTTTAAAAATATTTTTAGCATCACCAAAAAACTTAGAATTATTCTCCACAACTATCTTTGACTGCATGTAAGTACAGTACTATATGTGTATGCCAGTCTCACTCTTACTATACACATTTCTTCTTCATTTTCTTGTTTCTTTTCTCTCAGTCTCCTATTCGCAACCTTCAAATCTATTCAAAAATCAACAAATGATCACACACATCATCAATAAAACCTTCAATATCTTTTATAATCTTCTCATTGTGTTCTCTTTCAGTAATTAGTTCCATATTTGTTAATGTTATTCTTTCTTGTAATTTCTCTATTATTCTTTTATCATCTACTAATGGCTGATAGTCTGGTCTTGTCATTGCTTCAAGATGAAATTTGCAGTCATCAATTTCAAAAGACATTCCTCTTCTCACTTTGCTAGCAGCTTTAATTAATTATATCATTATTAGTATAATTAATAAAACTACTCTAACCTGAACCAGTATTACTAAAAAGTGATCTCAAATAATCAACCTTCATTTTTGACAATTTTTTTGTCAATTCTTTGTTTCCTTCTGTTATCTCATTAAACTGAAAGCTCAATACAGTCAACTCTTCATAAAGTGATTCTTCCTATTAATAATTATTATAATTAATACAAACTAGTGAGATATACGGCGACTTTTTTAATTGATTCAGTATCACTTTGAACAGACAATGATTCTTCCTAATATTAAAATATTTGTTTACAATATACCATTGGCAACCAATTAAAGCATGTTTTTAGATTAGCACAATGATAATAATAGTATACCGTAGGGTGTCTTTTTTAAGGGCTATAGATTTAGTGGATATATAATTCGCAGTATTAAATTGTGCGATTTTATCCCAAATTCAAATTTTCCATACCCATAAACAATTGATTCAAATAATTTATTTTCGTGAATAGCAACAAAATCTGCGAAATATATAGCCCTAAAAAAAAGGTACCCTACTGTGTCAGATTTAGCTAACCTCAGGTACCTGAGCCATTGATATTTCTTGTTTTAATTCAGTTGTTTCCTATACAAGATTGTATTGCACAGTCTGGTATAGTATGACATACTTTTTCTTTGCTACTGATAGCATCTCTTAGTTTATATTTAGCTTCTTCAAGTAAAATACAAGAAATAACCTATGTATTGAATTTACACATTACATCATAAAATCAACTAAACACATTGTTACATATATACATTGTATAATGTAACCAATAAAAGGAAGGA